GGTGGCATATTATAGAGGTTGGAAAGGTGGGGGGGGGGGGTGAAATTAACTTTTACCGCATAAATGATTGTAGAAGATACGCAAAAGACCCTGTTAACTTGTTTTGAAAAAGAGAACAAGGGAAAGGTGAGGTTGTCTACTGTTGCCACATAATTGATTGTAAAAGATGCGCGAAAGACTCTTATAACATGTTTATTGGTTTAGGAATGGAAAATAAACAGGAGAGGAAGGGCAAAATTTACTCTTACCACATAATAAATTGTTGTAAAAGACACGAAAATGTTCTCTTCCCATCAATGGTGCCTAAGGAGTGGCGTCGGTGGCCTAGTGGTTAGGCAGGCGGACTCGTAATCGTGAGACTGCAAGTCGGGGTTCGAGCCTTAGGAAAGGCACTTTGCACAAAGTTCCCACTTGGCTCGGTCCTTTCGGAGACGGACGTTAAAAACGGAGGCCTCGACTCTTAAATAACATAATAGTGTTGATAGGGACGTTAAACCTCTACCATTTCACCATTTTTTCAGTGCCTAAGGAGCTGCTACCCGAGAACGCTTGCCCGGAAGGCCTTTGGGGAAACAACTGCAACATAACCTGCATGGACAAAAGCTGCCAAGGCTGTCTCAAGACCAACGGCGGGTATTGTATGAAGTGCCGGGACGGCTACTATCTGACAGCCACGAAGGACTGTGAAATGAATAAAAAAGGTGGGAGCTCGTCAGTGATTGTTGGTGTGTGTGTGTGGTAGCCTATCCGTTCGAAATGTTTGGAGCTCCGAAGAGCGTGCTCTTCGCCAGGGCAACTGCCTCTCTTGGGTAGCGGGTGAGGCAGTCCAACCTTTCTGAATCCTCCCCAAAGAGAAACCATCCCTGAAGCCAGTGCTCCAAATCTTTTGGCTTCTCGCTGCACAATGGAAATATTTAGGTCTGGTGCTTTGTCTATTCTATTTGTGTGGGCCCGCAGCCCAGAGAAGTGACCAGTCCTGATTTTTGACTGTAGCGACTTGTTGTTGTGCCCTTGACATAGAGGAGTGGCTTTAAAAAAACGTTACCCCTTTTAGCCGCTTTGTGGATAAATGTGGAATGTTCTGCTTTATAAATGTTTCCTGTCTCTTTTATTGACTTTCCTGGTAGCACGATGTGGCATGACATGAAATTGTTTAGGTTTAACGCCCCTATCAACACCGTTAGGTTATTTAAGCGGCAGGATCTCCGGGTTTAACGTCCGTCTCCGAAAGGACCGAGCCAAATGAGAAATTCGTGTAAAGTGTCTTTGCCAAGGACAAAGCGTCGGACTGAGCTGTAGCTTGAACCCCTGAACCCGTAATCTGACGATTACGAGTCCGATAGCCTAACTACTAGGCCATCGACACAACTCTAGGGTAAAAATAATCAAGTCACCGTCACAATGACTTGATCAGTGGACAATATAATATTGTCCTTTAGTTTTAGTAAGAGTTTTACGGCACTAGCACCACAATAAGGTCATATAAATGCCTAAGATTAGAGGTGTTACAAGAGAGTAGCAAACACAAAAGAAGGAGGAAAGAAAGTCGATAGATGTTTGATAGAAAAAAGAAGCAAACCACACCAGAGCACCCACGAACCACTCACTAATATTGTCCAATTCAACACATTCATTATTAATCAAATATTGCTTCTTATTTACTACCAGAAAAAAATTTCGTAAATAACCGCTCAGAAGTTATACCTTTATTTGATTAGAGACAATCAATACGTTATTCTATTGTAGTCGTAAGTCAGTTTTTTTACCAAAAGTAGACTAATATAGACCACCATTGTTCTCAAAAGACACATGTAAAATGAGCTGTAAATACTGCAAAAAAAAAGTTTCTTGGAAAGACAGGTAGAGTTTGTTGTAGCTTTGTAATATGTGGTGTCCGTGGTCTAGTTGTTCTGATATAGCGTGTAGGGCTCGCAACTGAAAGGTCATGGGTTCAACCCCTGTCCGTGGGCCGACGTAGTATCCTTGGGAAAAGACGTTTCCCAATAATGTTCCTCTTTCCACCTGGGTGGGCATGAGTACCCAGCAATAGACAGCGAAAGAACTTGTCAGATTGTTGGTTTTTGAGCACTTAATCCGCTGCCTGCACTGTGTCCTGTGTGCTTTCCGGGAAGTCGAGAATGTCTCTGAGTTTTCAAAGTGAAATTTTTTTAGAGGTTTAACGCCCCTATCAACACTATTAGGTTATTTAAAAGGCGGGACCTCCCAGTTCAACATCTATCTCCGAAAGTACTGAGCCAAGTGGGAAATTTGTGTAAACTGCCTTTCCCAAGGATACAACGTCGGACCGAGATGAAGGTCGAACCACAGAACAACCTGGTTACCGACCCCACCAGTCATTTTTCAAGGGTAAACAGCGGCAATGATATGACCTTATGCAGTTGCGAGCACCGTAAAACCTCTACCAAAACTATGGAAAAATAAAACTCTTCCTAAAACTGAACTAACAATGTTCTTTCCTTCTCCTCGTTATCTCCAGATTCCTTCGTCCTGATGATTCTGGTGGTCATTCTGTGCCTGTTGCTTCTGATCCTCTTGGCTCTGATCCCTTTGCTCCTCAAACGGTGAGTCCGGCTGTTGGGAGGGCTGATACGGCGGGGCGTTTTTCCCTTTCGTCAACCCGCAGCCACCTCCCGAATTGTCAGCGACCTCCCAACCTTTGACACGGGTCAAACTTTCATCTATTTATAGGTAGTTACCAGAACATGAATAGGTGAAGTGATGTGCCGTGATAGTCGCGATATAATATTTATTGAGATTGTTTTGGTCTCTCTTTACTCATCACCACGAGAATTTCTTGAAGTTTTTCCCTGGACTCTGCCTTTACTAAAATCTCGAATCTAGATCTAGGTCTAGAGTTGTAATCTAGTGGCAGGTTGCAGATTTCTGTTATCCAGTACATTCAAGAGATTAAATAAATTGGACTAGACTCTAGACTCTAGTAGTAGACTCTTCTACTTCTACTTCTAAACCTTCGAGATTACAAAGGCCAAGCCTAGGCCTGTAAGGATTCGTTTTGTTAATTGTGTTGTTTAACACAAAGTCTAAGAAGGTAGCAAACCTAACACATTTTTTTCTAACGATATGAATCTTAAATTGACTTTTATATTGTCAATAAGAGATCAAGTTTAATCACCTATTCATTTAAGTAAGGAAGTGGCTATCCTCACCCGGGGTGAGAATAAAAACCCTACGATTGACCTCTCACCCCGGGTGAGACTTGACAGCGTTGGCTATTCTCACCCAGTGTGAAACAAGACCTGTTTTTCCTAATTTCGAAATACTATCAGGTATTGTTCTAATGTGGTTTAAATCATATCTAGACAATAGATTTATGTCAGTCAAAATTGGCAATGATGTGTCAGATAGGTTACCTCTAAAGTACGGAGTTCCCCAGGGTTCGGTCCTTGGTCCTGTCATCTTTACAATGTACACGCAAAGTCTGTCATCAATAATTTCTTTGTATGCCCTCAATTACCATCTTTATGCAGACGATACACAGCTGTATGGATTCACTACAACTGACAATATACACAATCTCATAGATAGAATCGCCAGATGTATCAATGATATAAGAAAATGGATGTTCAAGAACAAATTAAAATTAAATTAGGATAAGACCGACATATTATTTCTTCGTAGCAGCGCATTCAATGAAATCGACAATATCAGAATAAACATCAATGGCCACGAAATATCAGCCCAAACTAAAATAAAAAATGTAGGTGTGGTGCTAGATCAAGATATGTCAATGAAACACCATGTATCCAATCTTTGTAAAAATCTATATTTCCTTACTTACTTACTTTTTTCTTCCGCTTGTACCATGGGGTGTCGCGGGGAGACACAGGTGTCTGTCTGCAGCAAGTCGTGTGGCCTGTAGGAGGGACATCCCATGATCTTTAAGGGTGTCTGCCACAGATTCACTCCATCGTCGCCTTGGTCTTCCTCTGGCTCTCCATCCGGAATATTTAGTGTTGTATGCTCTCAGAGCTGGATGGTTTGAACGCATCCGCGTGAGGTGTCCGAACTACTTGACCTTTTGATTTTCAATGTGTGGTAGGACTGGTGTTGCTCCCACGGTGTCCCTTATGACTTCATTTTTAATTTAGTCTCTTCTTGTTTTGTTGACCGCTCTTCTTAAGCATTTCATCTCGCATGTGACCATTTTCCTCTCTAGGGCTTTTGTTAGAGTCTATGTCTGGCACTGATATGTGAGCGTTGGAAGAAAAATGGCGTTGATGAGCTTCGCCTTGGTGCTCATGGGATATTTCCAGCCGAAGAAAATAGGGAGCATTAGAAAATATCTATCTGTTGGTGTCCCCAAAACTTTAATAACATCACTTATATTGTCAAGGATTGATTATTGCAATTCCTTAATGGCTGGTGTACCTGATGAACAGTTACAGCAACTACAAAGAGTACAAAATATTGCTGCTAAAATAATTACTAAAAAACTAAAGCATGATCATGTGACTCCTATTTTAAAAGCATTACACTGGCTCCCAGTGAAAGAGCGTATCATATATAAAATATGTTTAACTTGCTACAAGTGCTTAAATGATTTATCACCGGACTATCTAAAACAGCTTTTAACACCTTATGTGCCTCCTAGAACGCTCAGATCATCAAAGGACAAAACAACCCTTGTTAAGCCTAAAATAAATTACAAATCATATGGCCAACGCTCTTTTTCATATTTTGCCCCACTTGTTTGGAACAGGCTTCCAAAAACTATCAGAGAAGCAGAAAATCTAGACATTTTAAAGAAGAAACTAAAAACATTTCTATTTTCATCATATTTCGATTAGACAGAATCCATCCAAGCTGTAGATCGTTGTGAGTTTGTATGTGCGTATGTGCATAATATGTACGTATGTGTGTATGTATGTGTGTGTGTGGTGCGTGCGTGACTGAATATGTGTTTGCACGAGTATGTAACACTATGTACCTTTAAAATTGATTTGTAAATCCATAATATGTATCATGTTAAGCGCATAGAGCATTGCATAAGTGGATATGCGCTATATAAATGCAATCCATTATTATTTATTATTATTATCACTTTTCGAATCGAGCCGAACTACGCGGGTCGCCATTTTCTTTTGCCCGGAAGTTCTCGCAAGATCTACTCCTCCCCCTTCTCTCTCTCTCTCTCTCTCTCTCTCTCTCTCTCTCTCTCTCTCTCTCTCTCCCTCTCTCTCTCTCTCTCTCTCTCTCTCTCTCTCTCTCTCTCTCTCTGTCGGTAATTTATTAAATCTGCAACCTGCAACTAGATTGCAACTAGATCTAGATTCGAGACTTTAGTAAAGGCAGAGTCCAGGGAAAAACATCAATTAAATTCGAGTGGTGCAGATGAGAAAAGAGAGACCAAAACAATCTCTCTATTGCGACTACCATTGCACATCACTTTCCCTAATACATGTTCCGGTAGATTTAACTACCTATAAATAGATGGAAGTTTGACCCGTGTCAAAGGTTGGGAGGTGACTGACGATTCGGGAGGTGGCTGCGGGTTGACGAAAAGGAAAAGCGTTACGGCGGGCGGCTGGAGGGTGCAGCTAGTATATTGTTACTTTTATTATTATTATTGTTATTATTATTATTATTATTATTATTATTATTATTATATTATTATTATTGTTATTATTATTATTGTTATTATTATTATTATTATTATTATTATTATTATTATTATTATTATTATTATTTTTATTATTATTATTATTATTATTATTATTATTATTATTATTAACTTGATTGGTTTCCCGTTCGATGAACAGACTCAAAAGATTCGGTCGTCAAGTTATTGTAGGATTAGTGGACGCACTCTTTGTGAACGGAAGCCTCACTTGTTTACGATGGCGTCTTAGAAGACGGACTTTCCCAAGATTAGATCTAAATGAAACTAATGAAAACTTGAAAATTAAACTACAGTGACTTCAGACTCCTCAGTAAAACTGTGCACTCTGTAAATGATTCTGAACCACAGTTTTGTTTTTTTTCAAATTCGAAAGTTAAGCGGCACCGAACTTAAGGCTGCCAAAGTGACGAACTTTCACAATTATAATATGTATAGGTACAAGACACAAACCCGTTCTACAAACGGTAATATACTGGTAGGAAATCCCTAGGAAGATAAAATGTGTGTACCGGATTCACTGCCGTAGGAGCTCTGTGTAGACAACATTGCATGCTGATGTACGCGCCATCTGGAACTGAGTCCTGGGTAGCAGGTACTTTTGCATGTCTTCAAATAAGAGCCCCTGGACCCAACACGACTCATTGCGGCATACAATTGTACATGTGAAAAAAAAATCGCCCAGTAAAGAAATCTCTATCCTTTTCAAAGTCTGTCCTTGAGCTTTGTTGGCAGTTAATGCAAAAGCAGGTCTAACTGTCCAGCAGTGGGAAAAAGATTTCCTAATCGGTTGTACAGGTTGCCCTGGATTTTGAAGGTTGTATTGAAGCCTTTGTTCAGCTTGTTCACTGTACCCAACTGAAGCAAGGGCGAGATCATTATTGTATGACCTACAGTGTGGTAAGAAAGAGCTGCCGCTCTGTGTCACATCGTGATACTTTATTAGTTCCTGAAGGGGTGCGGGAGGTACAGGTATACTAACATTACCATTTTGACAGCAGAATGTGTTTCTCTCTTCTCTCCATCGTATGGCATTGCAATGTTCACAAATGTCACTGAATTTACAACAGTCATGTGTCCGTAATCTCCTATCAGCTACACTTCCACTAAAGGACTGTGTGTTGCACGCTAAGGCCAATCGTGGCCCATTCTTTCTTGGCCTAGCACGCTCAAGGTCTTCCTCCGGATTCTGATTATTAGGACGTAAATTCTGATTGATAGTCGCCTTTCTCCGTTTCCTCTCGATTTCACCTCTGTTTTGTTGGGTTAAACAAACTCTTTAGGGAGCATCTTACTACAGTATTAACTAAAATTCCATCGACATCATTACCCCGAACAGATCTCGATCAAGATTGATATCTTCTTGCTAACCACTCCAAATCAGTCTAGAATTCTTTGCTCCACATGCATCTAGGACATAATATAGATCTAGATCTAGAGCCTTGCTCTATAAAAGCCACGCAGAAAATACACTCCAGAAAACGTCAATACAACGACGTGTACATTTTGTGGGTTTAAACGAACTCAACGTGCAGGGAACATCACTACACCAATTAATATATCTAGGAAAAATCTATGCAATGCAGTTTGGCCGGAAGTACCCATCGGCAGTGCTGAAAACACATCCAAACAGAGTTAGATATCGAGATTCTACATCTTTGAAGCAGTAGAACTCTCTGGCACACATACGACAACGCACAAACCGTAGTTTTATACTTGCAAACAACTCCAAATCAGTCTTGAATTCTGTGCTTCAACAATATATAACAGAGAGATCTAGATCTAGAGTCTTGCTCTATAAAAACTACGACCAAATACGCGCCAAATTTTGAAAACGGCAATACCACGAAGTAAACATTTTGTGGGTTTAAAACGAATTCAACGTGTTAGGGACATGACTGCACCAAATGTATCTACAAAAAG